CTCTCATGAGTAATGGCTGGATTCAGTCCTTCTCACACTTAGAGTCTGAATTCTCCTGCTACCAGCTGGGGAATGCATTCTGCTGTTAAGGGTTCCTGTATAATTTGGGAGACCCTTGTTTTAGAGCCAGCTATGCCATATAACAGTGTGATTGTACAGTGCTTTCTCATTGTGTTTGAAGGTTAAGGTCAACATTTAGGCGGACTTTTCTGGAAATTGTGCCTTTGACATATTCCTGTCCCGCTTTCAGTCTCCCATGGTTGCACATTAGATAGTAAAGTGGTAGGAACAGCTCCTTAGGACATGACTATTCCTTACCCTACTTTAACTGTTCATCCAGTTATCCCACAGTTGTCCACACAGTGATCATATTGTCCCATGATAGGCATTTAACCTGCCCATTGAAAGAGATGTGAGCAGGAGAAGAGGGCTGAGCACCATTTCCTTCAAAAGAGTGGACCACAGGCCACTGCTTTCAAAGCCTGAATGTCGGTTGTTGGGAAAGCGCTACTCTTTGAGTGCTGAGTACCAAGGCAGGCAATTTGAGTTATTGCCTCTAACTTAAAACAAGCTTATCTCAGAAAATACACTGTTGTTATCATGGCATGAATCCCAAGAAAGGAAGTGTATTAAGGTGACCTTTATAAAACTCCTTCAAGTGCTAAGTTTAATTGGACCATGGCAGGATACCTACATAAGCAGTCTTCCTGTGTGTGCTCTATAGAGCACTGCAGAGTCTCCTGAGGCCCTGCCAGCTCCAGGACTTGAAATTTTCACATGGGCAGAGACTGCGCTTTCTCACTTACTCCCCAGGTCCTCTCACCTCTCTCTGACTCCATCCTGGCTGAGAAGACAGTGATTGTCCTGGATGACCGCGTCACCATCGTGGAGCTGGGCATGCAGCTGGTGGCTGGCTTGTCCCTCTCCCTGCAGCTTCACAGGGTGGACCAAAGGGTCATCGTCTCTACAGTGGCTGCCCAGGATGTCCTCCAGGCCTCAGAGCAGGTGAGAGCCTGGAGCCCTGTGCCCTGGTCCATGGTTCAGCTCCTCTCTAGGTCTTTTTGTGCTACATAGAGGGTCAGCAGTGTCTCGCAGCCCCTTGCTGTTCTTGGAGCTGCTCCCTGCATCTCTCCCAGCACATTGGGCCTAGGAAAGCGTGTAGAGACCGAGGCTCATTTCCTCTGCCATTTGTTCTCCAGCAGGATAGATAAGCTGTGATTGGATAGTCTGCTGTTGGACTGTGAGCTGAGGGCCATGTTTTTTTACCTTGGCCAAACCAAATGGGTAATTTCTGATACTGCATCTTGCTGAGTTGCTGAGACTGGCCTGAACTCATGATCCTCCTGTCTCAACCTCCTGGTTGGCTAGGATTATAGGTGTGCATCACTGTGCCTGGCTGTTGCAAATCATTTATAAAGATAACTGAGGCACTGGGCCGTTCAAGCAGTCCAACTTCATAATCCATCATTTACCAAGAAATTTACCAGAGTGCGTTTTGCTTCATCAGCATTGGCTTCCTAATAAAGTAGGTTCAAAGCAATATTATCTTTAGCAGTAGCCTGAGTAGTTGCACCTAAAATTGATTCAGATAAATTGCCTTGTCTTTCAAAGTGTTTTTAGAAAGGTCAAAGTCAAATTCTTTGGTATGGCATGCAGTAAATTACTTTACACTTTAGTGCATTCATGAAAGCTTATTATTTATTTCTCATACTAGTTGAGCTCCTACAGATTATTGATGCCAGTTCAAGGCATGACAAGAACTGGTAAAGATTATAAAATGGAAGATTTTTTTCTACATATACTTAAAAGCATTTATATAGGAAATCTTTTTTGAAGGGAGCTGATCATGCTTTGATTTCGTTTCCCTCAGGAAGCCATAGTCAGTTCTTGGATTTTGTTCAGTGATGGCTCCGTGACACCTTTAAACATTTATGATCCCAAGGATGTTTCCATAACTATCTCATCATTAGATAAAATGGTGGTGTCTGTCCAGCCAAACTTGCAGTCCCAGTGGCCGGTTGTGGTTGCAGAGTGCGAAGGACAAGGGCCCCTGATAAAGTTGGAGATGATGATCAGAGAGCCTTTCCAGAAGACCAAGAGGAAGAGTGTTCTTGCTTGGGTAAAGAAAGTGTCAAGGTCTGGTTTGCACCAGGGATCAAGGAGGAGCACCGAGAAGGTAGCAATGACATTGAGGGTGTGAACCGGGGATACAAAGATCACCACAACTCCATAGAGTGGGAAGGGAGCCAGGAGCGAGCAGTCCAGGAGTGGCTCCAGCGTGGGAGCCCTCCTGGCCCAGAGGACAGGACCAACAGGAGCACAACCCTGCCACTGCCTGGGGAGGGGAAGGACAAGAAGCTACTCAAGAGTGGTGGTGCAGATGCCTTCACCAGCTTCCCCACCCAGGGGAAGTTTCTAGAATCTAGTAACCCTAGTGACCTTACAGTCGCCTCCAGGGGCTTGATGGACTTGGAGATTGGCATGTACGCCCTGCTCTGCGTCTTCTGCCTTGCCATCCTTGACTTCCTGATCAACTGCGTGGCATTTTCCTGGAAGTACAGACACAAAAGACTTGCGGTGAGCGAGCAGGGCAACATCCTCCACTCCCACGACTGGGTCTGGCTTGGGAACAAGGTGGAGCTTTTGGAGAACCCAGTGGACATCACGCTCCCCTCGGAGGAGTGCACGACCATGATAGACAGGGGGCTGCAGTTCGAGGAGAGGAACTTCCTGCTGAATGGAGGTTCCCAGAAGCCCTTCCACAGTCAGTTGCTCAGACCTTCTGACTATGTCTATGAGAAAGAGATGAAAAATGAACCTGTAAACTCTTCTGGCCCGAAGAGGAAGAGGGTCAGGTTTACTTCCTACACCACCATTCTTCCTGAGGATGGGGGCCCGTACACCAACTCCATCCTGTTTGACAGTGATGACAACATCAAGTGGGTCTGCCAGGACATGGGGCTGGGGGACTCACAGGACTTCAGAGACTATATGGAAAGACTGCAGGACCAGATGTAAACTCCTTTCTTATGTTGTATTCACCTTTATGCCTTCTGTTTTCTGAATGGTGGAGCAGTGAGTCTGATCAGAAATAGGGTGACTTCACAAAGCTGAGTTCATGGAGGTCTGGAGGGAGCCCTTCCTAAGCATGTTTCAGAGGCCTGGAGAGTTATGTCAGCTTGGGTTTTAAGCTGGGAAATGCCTCTAAGACAGCTACATGTAGGGACTGGAGGAATTCTAAGACAACAGTTTTGCCTACAGCCTGGTACCAGCTCAGTGCAGGTAGAGAAAACCCGACCCCACAGACATTGTTAGTCATCTCATGGTGAATGGGTGTGTGTAGTGAGGGGAGATTTGGATGGTGATTTTCCTGTTCCTAGACCTTTTAAAGCACAGTGGGCAGGTACAGCCCGTGGCCTGAGTTTGGACACTCGTGAGAGGTGACTGAATGTAGCTGTCCTTATTTGTTAGGAGCACTGCTCAGTATTTTTATATACATTTCCACCTGCACCTGTTCCTTTGACCTCTGGAATTTTTTTTGAAACATGAAGAGAAGAAATTTCAGCCTTTGAGATCTGTGTGATTTACAAATGAGTTTTATTCCCTGGGATTTGCCTTGTCATGTCATTTCCTGGGTCTCCATACAGGATGTCAGGTTTTTCAAGTTTTGAGCACTTCTTTCATTAGTGACAGCATCTAAGAAGCTTATTCTCACTTTGTTTTTCCTACCTTTTGCTGTTGAACTTTCTTGTGTATGACTGGGACAGGGGTTTTGCTTAAAATGTTGATATCCAGTGAGGGAGGGTCATCTCTTTACATTTTTCTATGTGAAGTTTAATACAACTTGGAGGAAAGTTGTGAACACACACATTTATTTTTATCCTCTGTTTGCTTAGAATCCTGGGGAGCTTCTGGAGAACACTGCTGAGGGCAGAAAGCCCCCAGGGAGCAGTGATTATGCAGGTTCTTTGTAGTCAACACAATGTACCATCCAAACTGAATCTAAAGGTAGAATCCATCTACATCTGCGCTGAAGGAAAATTTCCCAGGGAATAGCCTCCAATAAAACTTTCCATCTTACCAGAAAAAAAGAAAATTAAATGATGTTTCAAGTTAGCAATATAAATTTTTCGTACAATAACTATCTTCACAGGTGTTCGTTTGCGGGAAAAGCAATGGGTTCCCCCCAGAATTCACAAAAATAAATGACTATTCCAGAGCCCAAGAAGCAGATATTATAAACAAACTATTAAAAAATCAAAGTGCTAAGAGGAAAAAAAGTGATTCTTGTATAATTTTTAAATAAAAATATTTAGAATCATCATGAGTCATTATCTCAAAGCAAGAATTTCAGATTAGCATAATGTGACACTTTTATTTATTAAGATGCTATAGGTGGGAAAGCAGACACTGGACTAATCTGTCTCATTATGAGTTAACTGAGCCATTTGCATCCCTAAGAAATGGAATTTGAAAGGCCCAAAGTAGGAGGCACCTGCATCAAGTAACCCTTACTCCCAGTGGCTGACAACTGAGCTATTCAAAAGAGAATTGTTTTCATTCAATTGCTCTCTTATTTTAGATTCTCATGGATGGGAACTTGACAACTCAGCCTCTTCTAGCCATGATGCAGCAGCCAGAAATTTCTCCTATAGCTCTTGCATGCCACAGACAGGGCTGAAATTGCAGGTGGTATAGCGGTGGCCTGAGAGGCTGGTATTGGATTGGTTTTATAAGTATTTAAAATGGTGCTTAGGAGCTGAAGCCAGGGACTGCAGAGAGCTTCAACTTAACTGGAGAATGAAGCAGAATACCTAGGCCTTAACTGCAAAAGCAGTTTGCAGGCCAGCTGGTGCCTTTTAGGAAGAGCTCCCTGGTTAGCCAGTGGCCTTTCAGAGGGCTTAGTGGGAAGGTAGCACAGAACAACTGTGAGGACAGAAGAGAGTTCATGCCTGATGGACGCAGAGCCAAGCTATCCAGGAAGTCTGGCTCCTTCTAGAAGACGTTTTCAGTTCCATCTCTTTTGGAGCTTCAATATCCAAGAAATAATGGAGGTCCTTTCTGAAAGTGAGGAGTGTGAATTGAAGGGAAGGAGTTTACTCAGCAGGCCGCCTCCCAATCACTGGCACATCAAGACTTTGGTGGGGGCATAGTTTGGGAGGAATTGCCATTGTTGTGGGGAGCATCACTAAGGAACATACAAATTGGAGCCTTTCCTGAGGTGGAAACATGGGGCAGAGACAGAGAGCAAACAGGGAGTATTGGGTTGTGCCAGATCAGCCTAAATGGAGCTGGAAGCTGACCATGATCCTGAAGAAGCTTCTGGTGGACAACACAGACTCACCCAGCCTGAATCAGTGCCCATATAGTCACCTGTGCTCCTTCACATTAGAGTTCAGTTAGTTCAACTTGGAGGAAGTCAAATGGAAGGTCATGGGAAAGGGTCCATTTTACCATATAATATCCACTCACAAAAACATATCTACATGTGTGTGTGCTTGAAGCTGAAAAGTCAAATGTAGACCATTTAGTGAGACTCAAGAGTGACAGTTGTTTTCAGATGTGACATGAACATCTTTTACTGAAGTATTTTATGCTCCGATTTACTGCAGAGTATAAACCATGGGTTAGATCACCTTGTTTTCCAGTTACTCAGCCACAGCTATTAAGCACTAGACCTCAAGATACCTAAACCCAAATGGGAACAACATAAACTATTAAGCCTTGAACTCCAGTTTCCAGTCACCATGTTTCACCTGTCTTCATTCTCTGGGTTTTCATGGTTGAGATATTCAGATCCTGGGGCTCGAGGAATAACCTAGCTCCAGGTTGTCAAGGGCTGCCAAGTCCCCTTTTCCCCATAGAGTGGCATGCTTAGACTCCTCCTGAGGGAGGAACCAGCAGGTGTTTGGAGAGGGCTGCAGGCTGTGGACATTGGTCGCAGGCAGGGAGCTTGAGATGTGAGCTGAGGACTGCATGGTTTGGAGCAGTTGAAGATGTGCAGCCACTGTCTCCAGGTCCCGGGGTTCCTCTTTCAAGTCCAGAGTACAGGGACCAAGAAACAGCTGCCAGATCAAAAAGCCTGCTTTTAAACATAGGTGTGCTGCATTTGAGAGAGACAGAAGAGGAAGAAAAAGATCCAGCAAACCCCAAAATACTCTGTGTACTACGAGAAGGAACATCACTTTCCTAGCTGTTGCACACACTGGCCAGGGTAAATTCCCAGCTTACAATAATCCTCCATATCTACACAGAAAGTTTCGATTTATGCACATAAATGCAGTGAAAACATGGATTGGTGTTTCTGTTCCATCGCCATATCTGGAGACATGTACTTGCTGATTTTTAAGTTTTAAGAAGTCCACCTTTTTGTAACTTGATCTGCTTTTTAGAAAGGAATCTTTCTAATATTGGCAAATTGAGACCATAGTAAAAGATTTGTCAGCAAAGATCCATTCAGTCCACTAAGGGTGGCTTCATCTGAATCCTTCATGCCACTGGCACCACTGGGCTTTCTACTCTAATCATCTTAAAAACTATCTTAATTCTCCATTCTGGTCTCTGTAAATGACACCTCAGATGGTTTGTAAACTTAGTAACCTTCCTCTCAATTAAAATTACATATGTGTTCTGTGACGTACATCACCTGTATTTAAAGGGACAGGTTGGATTGTGGAAAAGCTATGCTGAAATGTAGATATCAAATATTTTTGTATGTAATATAGACATTACACTGAAACTCTGAGAGGTGTATCAGAATAAACACATTTTAAAATAAAAGCATGCAAAACTGTAGCATTTAAATGTACAGACCTCCAACTCAAAAATATCTCAACTGATGATGGGAAAAACATTAGGACCTGACATCGTGAAATGCATTGAGTTAGGAATTCTGGCCTGGAAAGGACATGGCTCATGTTGGCAATGTTGATGAAACTTGCTGGAATATTTTGATTTTGCTCTTCATTACTTTTGGATCTTTCCTTTTTTCCTGGAAATATTTCAGAAATAAAGTGACTTCACTTTTCCAGCATAATGGTATATTCTAACCACAGGGTAATTCATCGTTTTTAACATGAAATTAAACATTTAAACATTCTTCAATTGTTTTATTATTTTAACTACATGTTCCTTTTCTAATTTCAACTTCTATATGATTGGCTATATTTATAGATACATATATTTTTCTTTTCAGCCAGAGATTGTAACATCCTTGATGATGTAATAAATGGACACCAAAACGAAATATTCCCTAAAAGTCAAAGATGACTTTGAGATTTAAAAATTTTCTCATTTGTTTTCTTGACAGGCTGGGGAAACTTTCCAGATGTCTTACAAAGAGGACTCATTTCTCATGTCTCTGTTGAGGGTCAGACCACCTTGAAATCAGGGCTAAAGTGCAAGGTGCAGTGGGTGTTTGGTAGTGTGATAACTGGCCACCCTCTGGCTTTCCCTGGTCAGTGACTAGGTTTTGTGGATGCATTTGGCCAGTAGCTTTGCATGGGCTTGAGCCTGGGTGCTGAGGATCTAGAGAGAAGCTCTAGAGATGCAAATGAGACACAGGACAGCAGGGGCCTCTGCTTCGAAGATGAGGTAGCTGGTTCATTTGAGGGACTGGCGGATGTGTTGGCCAAGTACCGAAGACTGAAAGTGCTTTTCTTGAAACTGCCAGTGTTATCTTTGGCACTTTGGCAAATACTACCCATTGTTCTCAGGGTGCATTTGAGTGTCTCAGGCAATAACTTGGCATGTTGTAAATGTTTCATGCCACACCTGGTCTCTCATCAGACCCTTCAGACCCCTGTAAATCCTGGCTTGTGAAATGTAGGCTGTGAGGTAGCTGGCTTGTGAAATCTAGGCTGTGAGGTAGCAGGCTTTCTTGCTTATTTATAAAATGTTTGGCTCATTTGGCAGCAAATGAGCCAAAAAACTTTGCTAGGTGTACAAACCCACCCCCATCAGGATTACTTTTCAGCACTTGGGTAATTGTTACCCACTAACAGCTTTCAAAGCCTCTTTCT